GCACAAACATCTGTGTGTCTGTCTGTTTGCCCATTTTCTAACTACTACTAGGTCGGTGTGCCAATCTCAACCAAACTTTGTGGGATAAAGTTAATAAAATAAAAGTTTGGTACAAGTGGCATGTTAACGAGGTGTTAACAAACCTCTCCACCCACATTATTGCTATTATTGAGCAGTTATTATCTTTGACGTAAGTTAACGTTAACTACATTCATAAATGGCGCCACGTCCTTATAAAAAAAATTATTAATTTTTCTATAACACAACATACACACAGTGTGGAGGAGGACACACAAACAAATGGAGAAATGCATTGAAAACAATGGCCGCCACTATTGCAATGATACATAAACTCAGCTAAAGTTTCTACTCCAACAACCACCATAAGGCTGGTATGAAGAGCGGTTTCTTGAGTTATAGCCACTTCAACTTCTGTCCATAAGAGACTTCTGCAGCCAATGAGCATCAATTAATTAATCACGTGAAACACTGTGGAAGGACAGTAAGAGTTGGGTGTTGAAAGGAGGTAACAGAAAGCACCCTACCGCCATTACTTTTGTCGCTACCTCTTAATACAAAGTCCCCATGACCATTGTGCAGTGTATACCATGTTTTAAGTATATACATATTGAGTTCTTAACCGTATACAAAATTTATGATCAGGTAATAATGAATAGTGTAATGATATGTTATGTTGTAAATAAATTGTGTGAAAATTAGTATCATAACACCTACCCCCTCATTTTCTTAAATTCGTTACCGGGACAAAGGACGGGTACATCGGCTTGTTAATATATAAAGCGAAGTATGTGACACATAGCATACTCATGACAACAGAAAAAGAAATTAAAATAAACAATCGTTATGGCCACAGTTCTCAATTTTTATTTTCGAATTTCTGCTGATTATAATTATCGCATTCTCTCTAATAACTTACCAATAACTTGTTCACTGCTATTATCTGATGACGAGAGTAAAAGAGGTTCCACTTTAGTTGTGACGTCAAGTGTATTGGATGTTATGGTTTTACCATTGATCAGAAATATTTCAGCCCAAATCGTGTATCTAAAATATAAATAAATTGATAATAATGGACACTCAACACATTTCTGTTATTTATGGCTAAGATTATTTAGACTTTTATATTCAGAACCATGGCAACAATCAGCCTCGCAGTAATTTGTGTAAAATTTAATCTAGTACTATACTTTTGCATAAGTCATGAAATTGGTAGGGTATTTTCAACCTCAATTGAATCTTGTGTGCACGTGCGCTAAATGGCCTAGGGTAGGTAGCCAGTCAGCAGCTTTGAGCCCTAGTAACGCGATTAACCCTTACTCTTATGATGCACTTAGCTGAAGGTGTGAAGCGTGTTCAGCGGAATCTCAACGCAAATATTGTACCTTCTGATTCGTAACGTAGCATGTTAGTTATTAGGTCACACCTGGTTAAATCATGGAATACACATGCGCAACACTTTATTGTACATCTCAAGGTTGAATTGGCATTTCACAAAAAGTCAGATACAGAAAGACATAGTTTAGTCAGAAATATATAGTTTAAGTAAAATACTTTTATATCTAGCCTACTGTACACTAAGCGTAGAAACATATACAAACTTGAATAGTCACAAAGGTCACAATTGTAAATTAATTGTTTATTACTACCTTGAATATATTAATATCACTGTTTCCCGGTGAAAGACAATATTAAAAAATACTTTAATTCAGCCCTCACCGCTGTGTTAAATCATTAACTTGATTACACTTAAATGGTGAACTTGTTAACAGGAGTTTATTATATTTTGTCGTTGCTAAATCCCCTTCTAAGTAATGCAGATTCAGAGGATAAGCAGCGCTATTCTGTTAGAATGTTTTCTCTGATAAATAATTCTTGAAGGAAATTTCAACAAAAATATAGGTAATTGTACATAGTAACTGATAGATGGCAGCAGTAATGCGAGACTAAATTTTTAATTAATGGTTTGTCTAATCAAGTATAATGTGATCTTAATTACTTATCCTACTTTCGTTCACTTTCTACAATGAACAACAATAACAAAAGCCTTCTTAACTTTCTAGTGTTGTCTTACGATTACCATATGCATATAAAATTTATATTACGTAAGTAACCGTTCATTTAAATAAGAACTGACATTTATTGTTCGTTACCTGCTTGCTGGTCTGAGTTTCTCGAGTGTTAAATGTTCTTCGGGTATTTTAAACAAGTAATGTTGACTGGAGTCGGATTGATTTCTGTACACCAGCCTCACAACATGGACATACTTTTCGAGCGGAGAAGGAGCACCTGATAGCGACAGTTCAGTCGAATAAGGTCCAACTTTGTCCACATGAAGAGCAACAACAAACGTGTGTTCTTCTATTAAAACAAATGATCCAAGTAAGAATATGTAGCAATAGATGAATGCATTGAACTTACACATTTTCGTCTATCGTATAAAATGAAAATATAACAAATACACTTAATTAAATAGTTACATTAATATATTCCTATAGTGCTGCAATTCACTTGTTACACCCGTGAAAATAATAAACTTCATATATTATTTCTTAAGCACTAAAACATCAGATAAAGCGAGTTATTGTGATTAATAGCAATAGTTTGTACGTCATAGCCCTTCGGGTCTGAGTACTAAAAATATGTTGAAATGTGACCTGCAACTGATGGGTATAACTGGTTTTTTGCTTACTAAAAATTCGTATTGGACTAATTACACTTGGAATATGTAACATATTAACAAGTCACGTTATCACGTTTCATTCCACGTGCTTTCTTAACCCTTTCGCGACCGTACATCTTGTCTTCCAAAGAATCGTGGAAAGTCGAGAAATTAACGAAATGTCAAATATTTTATATTTGATTTATTGTATATTCTATTGAAGAAAGGGCCTACAAACCATACGTCAAATGGCCCCTGGGTGGGATATTAATAGCGGGCGTACCAAGTTCACCTCTACGGTAACTGCTTCACTCTCAAAATAAAAGTATGACTTTTTTTCTCGTACTTATACATTTTGTTTTATTTGTTCTTGTTTTTAGGTTATTGTTTCATTATAAATTATCTTCCTGAGTTATTAACTGTTTTGACCGCCAGAGGAACATGCACCCCCGCCCCTCTAGAAAAATGTCATGGATGTTTGAAATTTTGTACGGCCATGAAAAATAGGTATTATTACATATTTCGAAAATTTTACCAGTTTTAAGTTTAAAATAAGTAATTAAATATTAAATCATGTGCATTTTTGGTTATTTATTATATCTACAAATAAATTTGCTACTATGACAGTTTAGGTTGTCGAAGTAATACTTTATTGTTTATCTATATAATTAAGAGTAACGTGTGTTCGTAAGGGAGAGATGGGTGTTATTATGCATTACAAACGGAAAGGTATTTGGGAAATGGATCTGTGATCCCTCAGAACCCCATCTCAGACAGCAGTGTTTAAGTGTTAAAGTTATGTGTGTGTGAATTTCTTCATTTGTTTATAAACACTTAAAGTACTCATACCGTTACACTAATGACTTTTAATTCTTGCCCCTGATACACGGGTTTTTAAAGAATCGCTAGATCTGGTCTCTTACTAGATAAATTGTTATTTTTGATAACACCATTCGGCTCAAACTGTCTTTTATACTAGAGGTGTTTGTTGGGTATCGTGTATTGTGGAAGAAGTTTAACCTCGCAATCATTGAGACGCCCCGTACAGCCATCAGATTCGTTCATAACTCCACGAACCTAATGTCTTTCGTAAGCAGTCTAGGCAAGTCATTAAACTGTCTTAATCACTTTAAATACGCAAAATTGACTTTAAATTTTATAAACCTTGTACATTCAAATACGAAATGTTTCGTACGCGAAGCACGAGTTTTCCCTCTAGAATTCCATTAAGAAAAGATCAAAATTGTCTGCTACGCCAGTAATTGATAAACACTACTAACCTATTATTATAGTATACATAACTGTAGAAACTACTGAAAATATTGTGCATACTTTAGATTCATTTTTGCACCACGCCATTACCTGTGACTTGTGGTAAGGTCTTCACTTCCATTGGCGTATCCGACATAACGTGAGTAGGGATATCTGGAAGGTTTTTAAATTCCATTTCAATCATGTAAGACGTACTAGGCTGCAAATCACTGATCTTGTATGATGTTACTTCGCGGTGAATTATAGGAGTTCTTTTCCACTCACTGCTAGTCTCATCTTTTAACTTGTACTTCAAAAGTAGTCCATCAATTAACTTCTTTTCTTGGGGTTCAAACATTCGCCATGTGACGTTTACACTGTTGGTTTTTATGGAATCTACTTTCATATTGGTGTCTAAGACAAGCACAGAGGGCAGTGTGGTCGTTTCAACACTTTGTTCAGTACCTAGTAATGCCAGCTTCATTTTCTCTTCCCGCGTAGTTGTGGTGCTTTGAGTAGTTGTAGATGGCGGGATAAAAATTTCTGTTAAAGTGAAAAAAAAATTAGGTTAAATATAACACATTACTACAGGTGAATAAAATTGTTGTTTTTCTGTATGACTGTAGCTACAATAAGTTTTCGAGTCTGCAACAGCTTGTCCAGTACAGCAGTAAAACTGTACGGATTTTTCACAAATACCTATAGGATTTTCTGTCTTTATTAAAGAACTGTCCACCGGAAACGAAATAAATCCAACTGACACCCATGTTAAAAATGGCGTATATTTACACTAAGTATTAAGTTTTAGAATTCACTTTTATTATTTCAGTTTTTTTTTCTCATGATATACACTAATAACTTCGCTAGAACCACGCCTACTTCCATTAAAATCGGGTTTGACCACCATCGCCACAATAATAGCTCGGACTTGTTGGGCGTGGCGTAAACTTCAATCGTCATCAATGTTTATCGAACAGTTTTTTTCTAGCAGCACACGTATTCACTTTCAATTACTATCGTTAAACGCCTGTTAGTATATTCCATTGACAATCCAGTCAAAGATAGATCTTTGATCAATGACACTCCCTCCCGAACTCATTATCATGTCCGTTCGAAAGGCGGGGGGGGGGGCATTTCTTGTGCTTGCTGTATTTGATGTAACTATCTAAGCTTCTTGAAACTAGCGTTGCTAATAAATCACTTGTATTGTTGCGTGACTAGGAAGAAAAAAATTTGAGCTTTATTGTAACAAAATGTCTCATGTTTATATAATATTTCTAATTGAATATACGGCATGTGTTTCAGCTGTAAGTTTATCAACTTACAATACTAAACTCTGAGGTCCGATTCTAGGCAGTAGACAGTGCAGATAACTCATTGTACTAAAACAAACAAACAAAGAAATTCGAATTGAATAACTAGAAATTAAATCTAGTATCTTTAGAAATGAATATTGTTTATTATATTTTTGCTTGAATATCAGTTTTTAAAATTATCTCATGTAAGAATGAATTAGTATTATTCAGTGTACAGATCTCGCTGAAGGTTCTGGTTAGAGGGACGAACGCTCGCAATAAAATTAAATGTTTAACGCCATGAAAAGTCCGATGTAATTAAACTAAATGCTGATTTGTTAGTCATCCGTTACACTTCTATTGTATTAGCTCAATGAACCACATTTCACACTTCCTGTTTACTGTCATAACCACCTGTTACAGTCACACTTTATGTACTGACTGCCAAAACCGCCTGTCGTTTTCTGTGAAGTGACTGTTATATCCACACCCACACAATTTCTGTGATCTGACTGTCATAAACTCTTGTCACACTTCCGATGTACTGTCATACTTTGTGCCGTCGTTACAACTGCGCACGATGGTACCATTTTCGACATGTGTTTTCTTGGGGTTTACTCCTGACGTTGAACAGTGCCGTTGGCGATAGTGACACTGTCCAGATTGATCGTGTTTTTAGCTTTTTACAGGCCATTGGCTTTTTTCATTCTATTTGAGACTTTTACCTGAGTTTTGGGCTTTGTTTAGCTTTTAAATTGTTTTAATTTTACTATTGCATTTATAGCGGTTGTTTGGCGAAGATAGCCCTGTTGCATTGCTCGAAAAAAATGCCAAATAACCAACTAACTGACTATTATGACCACCTGCCACAGTTTCTGTGTATTAATTGTCATAACTATTTACCGCATGAAATATTTACTCCTTTATACTGGCAATATGAACTAAATGTTATACTTTCATGTAGTTGCTTTCAGAACTTTCTGTTAGATGTTTTTCGTGAATAGACTGCCGGAACAGCTGTTACGCCCTTGTTTACTACCCTACAGAGATGCTTGTTACATTATGTTTGTATTAGCTGCCACAACTGAATATTCCACATTCTATGACCTGGTACCAGAATCGTACAATGGTTGTGAAAACTGAATGCTCCATCTAAGAGTCAGATGACATTTCAACCCCATTACTAATAAGTAAAGATTTTGTGCGTGTAGAAACTGAAAAGGTATAAAAAAATATTCGAAGTTTATTTGGATTTAATATACACAGTTTCTTATGAAAAGTCAACCATCATTTTCATAAAATTTTTTATTGTAAGTGTTTACCTCAGATTAAATACCTACCCGGTTTCGCAAACTTAACTTCAATCGTTATAAAGGCTTTATCTCAAGATACCCAGCTTTCAAGGAAAAGCCTCATTATTTCTATAAACTTCTCGATTTTTTATTATTTTTTTGCAAGAGTTTTTAAATCAATAAACCCAGCTTCTTAAAGAAAAACTTTCATTCACCTCTTTTGAAAACTACACTTATAGTCAGTTTTAATGACCAGAATATCGGTTTATTTTTAAGGTTTTGTTTTTTTTTTTTTATTTCCTAATGACGTCTAAATTTCCGATATTTGTTTCTCTAAACAACTTGTGATTCAAAAGCCACCACGATTAATAAATAATTGAAACAAGATTTGTAACGTAATACATTTTAAAGAAAGGCATGTAATAAAGTATATATTAGGTAGCTTGCCCTTCAGCTTTTATACCATCTCCAGAAGACATCTGCTGACTTCTTTGCACTTGTGTAGACGTTTTCGTCATTCTTCACATACCTTGATTTGCACGTGCTCTGGATTTGTTTATGTTTTTCACTGATACAATACTTAAGTTCTACAAATGTAGACTTTGTGTATTCTCACGGTCAAGTATGCATTGAACCCATGATAACCGTACCACACAATAAATCCAGTAATTCAGTGGATTATTGTCCAATCAGTGCTTCACGAACACAAAGTACAAATTGGGATTAGTGTTCCATCTTGAATTCCATTTGAATTTTGATTTAAGCTTAAACTGGGTCAGATGGAATAAAATTTGACCTGAAGGTCTTTATTTTTCTTCAATTGAAAGTTTAAAATGTGTATAACTATTTGCAAACAACTTGCATTTGTTTCCAACGCGGGTAACTAACGGTAAATATTACATTGAGCAAACTGTATCCATTTTAATATTCCTGATAAATTGAAGGTACTGTTTGCTCTTAAAATTTATGCACATATGTTAAAGTGTGGCTAATCACTTTGTGAAAACAAAATGCACGGGAATACTACACCCTTAACCACGAAAATGAGTAAATTTATGAAACTGTATTGCTTTGTGATGATTCCAAAAGTAGATATTTTGAAAAATAAAAACAACTAATGATATACTTCAGGTATAGCTAGATAAAATCTTGATGTTTAGTAGAGTTATTATTAGTTCCACTAAGTTCAACTTACCTGGCAATGTCAGTTTGTATACCTCGCTCTCTGGACCTCCGCGCAATGTCTCCATGATAACCCGAATTTGGAAGAAATAGGTAGAACCAGGTTGTAGTTTAGTCATGTAATACTCTATGTTCGAAGTGTCAAACAATCGCTGGGGACGGGCAAACTTCTGCACTAGCCACGCTGGGCGAGGAATAGTAGGATTGGTAGTGTAATGGAGTTCGGCATGACCCACCAGCCCCACCAGGAGAGACGGAAGAGTGAAGCGCACTCTAACGGTAGTGCCATTTAGTGCAACGATGCTAACATTCTCCAGAGTTCTACCTGAATGGGTAAGAAAGTAGAATGTTTCTTCATTAAATGTTCATCGTACTAAAAATATGATTACAAAAGAAATTCAGGAAAAACAAAGTTTCTGAATGCTGGTTAGTTGAAAGAAGTCAGTTGAAAGACAGTGCTTCATTTAAGAGACCAGATTTTTGCTTCAACTTTTTAAAAATAAGTGTTGAAATTGAACATATGCCTTAAAATAAAGTTACGCACTGAGATGCGAGAAAACATAAAAACACGAGTATAGGAAGTGACGGTTAAGTAATACCGAGCAAACTAAAGAAACTAGTAAGCGAAAAAAAACAAGCAAAAGCACAAAAGCTGAGATAAATATAAAATAAAAAAGACAAAACCAAATATATTGAAATTGATATGTTAGTAACACAGAACATTAAGAATAAGAACTAAAATGCAAATAAATAAAATTGAGCATAAATATATGAATTACATGCAAACAAACACAAAAATAAGTCCAGGAGCTTAAACGTAAATAAAACCAAGCATAAATACTGAAACATAGATTATTATTCTATAAAACACTCCAAGAGACAAACTGTCCTTAAAGAAAAAAGTTGTAAACTGTAAAAATATATTTTTAGAAGAACAAGATTACTCGAACCAAGAAAAAGGTATAATTGTTTTCAGGCACATTGTGCTACTATACTAAGAGTAAAAAAACGACGATTTTGGGCACAATGAAAGATAAAATCTTTGTTAAAGGTTACAGCCAACTAGTTTCAGTAACACAGTTAACATCATCAGGATTAATATCTAACACTTAGAAACTTTCTAGCTCAGTTGCTTTGAACCACTAAACTCCAAACAACCTACCAACTCAAAATCAATCATTTAAATAAAGTCACATAAAATCTTAAACATACCTGATGGATGTGGCTCTCTGCACATCCAGTGCATGCAGCACGTGTCTCCAGGAATATGCCCTTTGTAGGCTAGGGCTGGTGGACAGGGAAGATTAGGTGGAGGAATATTACCTAATGGTCGACACCTATTCTCACATGTGACGTTACCGTTGACGCAAGCACATCGTGTTCCACAGTCTAATAGCTCATTAGGGATAGGTTGGAAATTGTTGATTTTTATTCCATTGAAACGACAGGAACCATCTAAATAAGTACATGTTTGTAAAATAAGTTAATAAAAAATCATTTCTTTCGCAGATCATAATTTCTTACAATTACATTAAAAACAGTTACATCTGGTTCAACATAAGTTACATTATCTAACGGTTGCACTGTTAACAAGCAGTTAGATCTTCCTTAACATTACTGACTTTAGTGAACAGTTGCACTGTCTGCTTGTTTGTTTGTTTTGAATTTCGCGCAAAGCTACACGAGGGCTATCTGCGCTAGCCGTTCCAAATTTAGCAGTGTAAGACTGGGAAGAAGACAGTTAGTCATCACCACCCATCGCTAACTATTGAGCTACTCTTTTTATAGATAAAGAAGAAATATGTTGTATCACATATTTAGAAAACAAGTATTTATAATAAATGCTTGAAGTAATATTAATTATTGTACCAGTTTATTTTGGCCAATAACAACTCTGGAACGTAACGCAAAACTTGTACACAAGCATTCATGTAACGCTGAATCATAGCCTATGATCCAGGGAATGACTGCTGACCTTCTTCCACTTCTTCGAAAGTACGTACCAGATACATAATTCTAAAATACATTGAATATTAATATATTCAGACTATTTAATATTCCATTTGTTGAAATAGGTAATTCAATGTTATCATGAGGAATTCTGGGTTGAAATTATAGTAGAAACCTTATACTTTGTTTTACCGCAAAGTCACACAATATGCTATTTGCGTTCTTTTTAAGACGGGTAATCGAACCCAAGATCTTAGCGTTGTAAATACGCTGACCACCTTTGGAGACAATAGAAACTCGTGAATGTTGATCTTTACAAATACTACGTTATAGCCTAAACAAAAGTAGTGAACATAAATATAAGCAACTCGGAATCTCGATCATCAACTTAGATACTTAATCACTGGCTTCAGATCTTAATCATTTAAAATACAATAAGTCTCTGAAGATAATATATTAATGTGTGTGTAATAGCTTTTGATTGTAAGTGATGTTTCCTGATCTACGAAAAAGTAGTGTTCACTGAATCTTGCCCCCCCCCCGGGAGCACAGCGGTATGTCTGCGGACTTACAACGCTAGAAACCGGGTTTCGATACCCGTTGTGGGAAGAGTACAGATAGCCCATTGTGCAGCTTTGGGTTTAACTTCAAACAAACACCGAATCTTTAGCATGTATAGTGTTACGATGAGCGGTGATAATTTATTATGCAAATAAAATATTGAATAAATTGAAAATTTTTCTCCAAGAAAACGTTTTGATTATTATGCTAAATAAGCACATAAACACGGAATACAACACTTACTAATATATTTACGAAAAATAAAGGATGGTTTGTATATTACGATTACAGATTTAAGAGGATGAAGATCTAAATTTAAATAAGTTATTCCTCTGTGTGTAAAGCTTTTGTTGTTTCGTAAATTATCTTTATAAAATTCTACATTAAACGAGATGAATTTAATATAACCTTATTGCATTAACAATGATAAATCTGTTGTTTTCTTTACCGTTTTTGCATTTTGGAGGCGGGCAACAATTGGGCGGTATTGGCTGGAAATTAGGATCTATATGCCACTCCAAACATTCGGTCACGTGGGGAGGAAAGTGATGCGGACATTCAATAAGAGCACAGTTGACCTCCAAGTCAGGACCACAATGACACAAGGATCGACATTCATCGTGAAACTCCTCACCGACCTTGTAATGCTTCCCCTTGAATGTACATCCCATCCCTGGTAGCTGTAAGGCTAGAGGGAAGAACAATATGTCAGTTGGTAACATGAAAACGTCCATACTACAGCCAAACGTAACTCTAACCAGGCTGGCTTACATCTAACGAATACTCATATCGCATATTAGCTGACGTTGCTAAGTTACAAGTAGAGGACAAAGATTTCAACAGAAGCGATTGATCGACTAGTCTATCATAATATATTTATCTACCTGTACACCAAATCTCGCGAGAAAATCGGTAAGCAGCAATATACCTGGTACGTGCAGCACATTGTTGTCTATTCTTTACGACAGAAACCAACGTCTGACTGTCATGGAAACGCTAGGTAGCTAGAATTAATCTTTCCTTCCGCTCTTTTGTAACCGGTTTTATCTCATAAGAATAAATCGATAAGAACTACAGAAACGAAATTTGATTTTCATGTCATGAAAAAGAAAAAGGAACGAACAGATTCCTATAACTATCGTTTCTTTTCAACTCGTATCACTAGAACAGTTTATTATATTATATTATAGTTCTCGTTGATAGACATATCACATACTAACAAAGTGTGATCTTACCGACATGAAACTTCAAGATACACTATAAATAAAAGAGGTAGCTACTATAAAAAGACATTCTTTACAAATACTATAGTCTATGAGCCAAGGCTGACTTTTCAGAGTTGGGTAGTATCTCCCCCATAGGTTGCAATAGCCATATTTCTTTTATAAAAGTTTTCCACAAGAACATTTCAAAGAGAATGTCACTTCACTTGTTATTTTAAAAAGAGGAAAAAGTAATTTTTTCGATAAATCCGTTCAACTTATTCGATTAAACGTGAATGGGAAACTGACATACCAATTTACTATTCTGTTCGACTATTATTACAGATGCTCTTGACCTTATACGACGTTTTTTTTTTCTGCTGGAAACAAAATGTTCGTAAGAACATCTTCATATTGGATTAACTTATTAACGATAATTGTTTTCCTAATTCTATTAACGTTTACATGAAATAAAGGAATAACAAACCTAGTGCAAGAGATCAGATTTATAGTCAACCCATGTAGAAAAAAACAACAGCTTTTAAAACAATCAATTCAAAGCATATTATTAGTTTGGCAGCCTTTTCCACCTGCAGCTTTCGGTGCAAGCCATCCCCTGGTGAGCACAACTACTAGTTATGTTCACACTTAGCTTTTATGGATAGAGTTTAGATAGTAGGTCTGGGGCAAGCGGCTTTGTCATTTATATGGGTGTTACCATCTCATACTTATCATGATGCCACCGATACTATAATGCTGGTAGAAGATCTGCTCTGATGCCACATAGGAATCTCGAAATTAACTCTAAAGGGATTATGATATAAACAGTCAGAGCCCGCCAGGTGACAAGGCCTCCTTTTTGCTAGCTTTTGGCAGAAATGATTGTACGCTGTAATGACAAGGCCTCATTTCTTGCTTGCTTACAAAAGATTATATTTTGCATTTGCAAGAAATGTTAAACACGCATGGATGTAATAACTTTTCAGATAGTTCAGACACAATAACAATCGTTAAAACAAATCTGATTAAAATAAAAAATTCTAACTGATAAAATGATATTCATACTCCTTTTTCATTGTTTTACCCACGACGTCCAACAACAAAAACACATGCTTATTTTACAGATATTCATACCATTCTTTCAAAAGGTATGACTTTGTTTAGTTTCTAATAAGAATTTTTAGATCTTTCCAGAATTGCTAAACATGTTATATAATATCTATTAAATATGTAAGTTTTATTTTGATCACAAATATCGAAAACAAATTTTCCAAATAGAAACATTTAACACGCAGTACTTTGAACAAAATAACAGGTTATTAATTTTAATTAATATATATTTTTTTATTATTCATGTGACATGTTTCAAAAATTATGAATTTGTCCAACTAATCTGTTAGTCATTCGCTATCAAAAGATTGTACAATGACACCTAATATATGTAATTATTTTACTCATTTATAACTCGCAAGTAACATACTCTTAATACCACTTACTGGCGATATTTATAAACGTTAAAAATAATACATCATGCAAATACATAAATCTAAACTATACTTGTTAAACTTCCCCACTTTTCTGGAGTATTTACTTAGTTATTTTTTTTTAGGTATTCGCGCAAACGACTATCTGCGCTACTCGTCCCTAATTTTGAGCTGATAGACTAGAAACAAAGCAACTATTCAACAGCACACCACCAACAACTCATAAGTTACTCTTACATTTTACTACAATTTACTTTTACTGTTTTTACCGATTGTTTGGCGCAGATAGCCTAGTTGCTTTGCGTCATAAAACACCAACCAACCATAATATACTCTAATCAAATAGTGAGATTTGAGCGCCACTCATTATAACGCATTTAAGCCTCAACGTGCAGTGCACAGTTTTGCAGCAATCGTACGGGAACCATAGACTTTGGTTTCAGAATCCTGTGCGCTAATCCACTCTCCACCCTTCTCTGGAGTGCTAGAAAGATTATCCATTCGACTATGTAAATGACGCTATGAGATGTATGTAGTCAATTAATAAAACATAAAAAATTTAACAGATTTTGCATCGTGGTAACTCCTTTCATCAATAAACGTGTTAAAATGATATTCTACAAAAATTATTTAGTTTTCCTGTACGCAGGAAATATAAGTGAATCTCAGAAAACATTAGATAAATGAGAACTTTAGGTTGGTGCAAAACACGTAAATACTTTCTCCATTTTAACAACGGAATTTATGTTTCAAAGCAGCTCAGATTTTCTTTTAATTTTATATGTTTCTCATTAAATATGTATTAATTTATTCTACTTACGGTTGAAAGAATTGGTGCAAAAGACATAAGGGCATAAACACGGGTTATCATCGGGGGTGATTAGAATAGGAAATGGACAGTTTGGACTCGACTGAAGGGCTTTTTTTGATATCGAGGGGCAACCCTCCTTGCATTTGACTATTGTGGATCCGTTTTTGTGAATTTCACAGTTACAGATTTTCTTCTTACAATTGTTCTCCTCCACCCACACCTCCCCCACGGTATGAGATTCTCCTCTAGTTCCTTTACAAATAGTCACAGAAGGAGGGGCTAAAGTTGAGTTGGGAGGAACCACAGGACCTGACAAAATAAAAACCATGCAATCTTATTATGTTTATAGCCTATGTAACTATTATAACTTTCTAGTTATGTTGCAAATGTACATAAACCACTTCTAACACCTATGAAAACTGAAATCACTGTAAGTAGTCTAAACATATATATCTAGAGATTACTAGCTCTTGAATAAAGGAGTTTTTCGTAACTTCTAAGTTAGTACATATCTCAACTTAAACCAGCAATCGAACAAACTTTACTTCACTGTTTTAGAAAGATCCAAATACAAAACATTGTTTTAATCTTAAAGTGTGATTTATCAATTTACGATATTTTATCAGAATTTAATAGTTACATTAATCCAGTTTTTGTAAGTAGAAGGTAATGTTACCAATATCACTGAGTTAAGAACATATTTATAATGTAAAATATAGTTGATCAAATTGGAAAAATATTTCTAGCACCTTTCGGAATGTTCCCATTCTACAGCAACTGACTCATTGAATATTACTTAAACACATTATTTGGTACTAGATGACTCAATGTCAGTATTACTGTATTTATAACTACGTAATTAACAAATACATTAATATGGTTAATTTCTTCTCAAGAAACTTAGTGTGGTTTAAATAGCATTGTTGGTACGTTAATGTGGATTACAAATATTTATTTTTAAGAAATTTTAATTTTAGTTATTATATATTTCTTAAAATGGAAATTTTATGTGGATTATAGATCATTATTTTAAAGAAAAATAATTCTTTTTAAAGGTCCTTTTTTGAGCCCCCTCCCTCAGTGAGTCAGTCTGATGACTCGTAACGCTGAAAACCGGGTTTCAATACCAGATAGCCTTTTATGTAGCTTTGTGCTTAAGAACAAACGACAACATTATTTTTTTCTAGAAAGTAAGTTTACTTCCAGATTTTCATTCAAAAAATTAAATGAGGCTTATAGATCCTTCTTTCAGAAAGTTAATGTGGTTTACAGATCATTTTTCTTTTCAAATAAAGTTAAATTGGGACCAGTTGTCGATATAGTACTGCACAGTAAGACGAAAGTGTTATGAACAGTGCAGGTCAAGATGGAGGAGTTTATTAGTGATAAACCACATAATAAAATTGGTACCAGTAATATGACAACAACATGGAAGTTTGCACGGACAGCACTATACTGCCAAATGAAACGTATGCCAGTAAAAACACTGATGATTTGTCAACACCAAAGGTTATACATCGAGTGTAAACAAGGATACTCTACTCGACCGTTTCATAGACCTGTCTGAAAACCTTGACATTTCAGAGGCAGTCATTTTAACGGTTGAAAGCGTAACTACGTAACACTGAACTGTTTGTTCCCAACAGTCCAACAAATTCAATCAAATTTCTCGTTGCTTCGTAGTATAGATAACTGGTGCTCCTTCTATTATGAAGAGCTACTGCTTATTTGTTTGTTGTTAAGCACAAAACTACATAATGGGTTATTTTGTGCTCTGCCCACCGCGAACATTAAAACCAAACTTTTAGCATTATAAACCTTCAAATTTACTGCTGAGCCACAGTAAGGATAATCTAATGTACATTTCGCATTACTGATTTTAACAGAACTGTTTCTCTATGGGATCTCGGTAGGTAATAAAACCTTTTATAGTCTTTGGTGCTAAACACATACAATTATTTCTCTTACATTATCATACACATATGTTTTGAACTCAAAATAACATACAATGCCTTGTTACATTCACATATACTCTATTCTACAGTCACTTCTCTATCTAGTGGCTGCGAGTCATGTATATTGCACTGCAAAACCCATGACCACCTCGGCAGATGTCCCATGACAAAAAAGGCGTATTAAAAATGTTCTTAATGCATTCTTTATAACTTATGCCAATCTGCAATCGACATAAATGCCATAAACTCAAATAAAATAGCACAATAAATCAATTTCAAATGTCAGCTAAAACACAAAAGAAATTGTTTTTTTCGCGAATCGAATGTCGAATAATGCACAATTAGATATATAATACAAAGTTAAAGAGATTCACACAGAGATGTGAAATATTGAGAAGGACGTTTTGTTTGATATTATTGTATCAGTTGTGTCCGGTTTTTGAGATGTGTTACACCTTGACGAATAAGCAACAGAAAACATGCGGAACCTTGAGATCATACTTTAATCTGTGGTTACAGTCCATTTCTTCTCAAACACAATAATTCACTGCTTTTAATTAATGCTAAACTGCTGTTCGCCTAAAACGCAAGTATCTGAAATTGATTTGTTAAATAAGTTTGTCCACTTAGTGTAAAATAAAAAAATATATCATTTTTGTGAAGTTTTAATTTGCTCCTATTTACAGAAGAGATGCATTTCACATCTCTTCCATGTTTCCAAATATATATGTGTGTGTTTAAAACACTTGTTATGGTATGAACACGTTTCTTTAAACGCGTCATTTGTTATTAATATGATTCACTTGATAAAATGTTATTTTTTTAATATTACTGAGTAATATTAAAACATTAAACTTTACAGCAGTAATAGTCTAATAACGAATGATAAGTCTTCCAAAAGCAAAGCAAAAACAATATCTTGTATGAACTACTCGTATATTGCACACTGCGTTAGCAAGTCTTACCCTGAGTATAGGATGGCTCATTACAGTAAGGCACAGTGCAGCAGGAATCATCTGCGGCCGGACCCCATTTGCAGTTTTCGTACCCAATAGTGTCTATGTAGACTTCACATCGGTCTTGACATTCAAATAACCCTCCTTTTCGACAGATGCATTTGTACTCGCATCCATCGAAAAACACCTCTCCAATTTCATAGGAATGGTTGCCATGGAAACAGCCTTGGAAGGTCTTCTTCACTTCTAAGGTAAAAGAATAAAATGACGTTTATCCAAAAACTGCTACATAAAACCACACAAATTGGAACTTGTTATAAAAATCTTTATCCTTAAATTTACACATTTGAACCTTAAGCAGATTTGATAGACATACGTTGCATGAATAAAATTATTCAAACACCCCTTGAAAACACAATATTGCCCACCAAGCACTCTCTGCTTGAAAGGAAACCGACTGAACACAAATTAGCATATTAAAAACATTTGAAGTGTTGCCAAAACGTCATCAAGTAAGTGGATTGAGAAAAAGCAGATTATAAACTGATGAAAATGTGAATAAATAATGTGTTATTGTCGCAATACTTGGTTGACTGTTTGGCTGTTGTTAAGCACAAAGCTAAAAGCTACACAATGGGCTATCTGTGCTTTGCCAACCAACGGTATCAAATTCTGACTTTTAGCTTTGTAAGCCCGCAAACTTACCGCTAAACCACTGGGGACATACTACTTAGTAGCTTGCGACTTTCCAACGTACTAGTAGAAGGACTACAAAATATCCAGGTATGCCAAAGTGCTGCTCATTTTTTTTTAGCAATTCCAAGATATTTTGGTAACTGATTTGCTGTGGCTACATTGCATCCAGTATGACCACATATGAAATCTCTGGGACCTATTCAGGTACTTCTTATGAATACAGGTACTTTCGAATGGTTAGGATATGCAAACTGAGCACCATCTCCAAGAATGTTCTGTGCATTTTTACTTGATGTAAAGTCAAATTTGGGTATGGAAATAGGTAAATGTCGAGATTTAACTTCACTGTGATTGCATTGTACTTACTGTAAAAAGGGTGTGATAAGGGTGTTGTGATGTGAGTTCTGTCTGTGAGACACCTGCGCATCTAAATGTCTATGTATATCAAAACATCTTTAAATAATATATTCCAAATCATGCCATATAAATATATTTAGGACCCTCTGGTGATAGTTAATTTGAAAAGTTAAACCATTATATTCCAATAATCATCAAATGAACAAACTTTTGAGACAATTGGAAAATTACATCAGACACTTGTCATATTCTAGTTAAGCGCATGCCTTACAGAAATTACTTATTTAGGTCAAAGGTCTTGCATCGTATTAGGACATTAATTACTAGAAATTTCTCTCTGTAATTGGAAATCTATGAAGATGTTTGGCGAATAGTGTTTATTGGTATTTAATATGAATATAATATCCCATAAATATATATATATACCAAGGATTACCTAAGGGATACGTCTTTACTGTAACAGTATTGCTGAAAAGAACATCGTCTGAATCCTGCTGGGTTAAACCGTCCACTGGCACTTTCATTAATTTAAGATAATATTCAGTATTTGGCCTCAGAGAAGAAACGTTTATATCAAACGTAAAGGGTTCCGTAATAAGCATGTCTCTTATTTCATATATTCTCTTTGTCCAATTGAGGGCACCATCATTGGATTCAGGAACTGGGGCTATCCAGAGCTGAACCTTTACTTCCAGAGGACTATCACCATGTGACATCATCGAAAAACTAAGTCGGGCAGATGTTGCATTCCGAGGCTCGACAGATTTGATTTCAATTGGTAAAGCTGCACGAAAAAAAAAATATCTCAAAATTTTACAGCAACAAGATATATCTAGTAATGGTTAGACTACCTAACAAACTTAAATTTTCCAAATTATGCAAAGAATACTAGTAAGATCAACTTAGATATGTGAGTTATAAAGTATACAAAAAACACAAGTAGAATAGTAATATATGTTAACAGTACGAGTAAAATACTAATGTTCGCTCTACATCAGTCCCACAATGGGAGTGAAATAGTAAACTACTTTCTACACTAGACTTACGAAAGGAGTTAAGTAATAAACTACGTTCCACATCAAAGAAACAATGAGTCTTAATACAAGTAACAATAATAATCATACTTATGGCTCATGTTAACGCCACAATACGAACATCACAAAATATTAAAGATATCTAAATTTACCTTTTACGTCTATGGGATGTATTCCTAATGGTGTGCACTCTACTATGTAGCAGCAGGGATCATTTGGATCAGGAACTTCTTTGCAAGTATGTCCGCTCGTGTCTTGTAGGGAGCATCGTGGAAGACATGAAATTTTTCCAACACCTTCACAAAGACAAGAAGCTTCACAACCGTCATAGAACTTTTCTCCGATTGCGTATGTGTGATTCTTAAACTGACAACCATCTAACAGACGTGGAAGCTTGAGTTCTGGCGAAATAAATCATAGTGTGTTATTTCATGGGTGTGTGGTTCATTAATTCACACCCATCTAACAAACGACTAAATTTGACTTCTGCCGAAATAGAAAATAGTCTATAATTTAGTATGCGAAGTTCTTAAACTGACAACCATCTAACAGACGTGGAACCTCGAGTTTTGATGAAGTATAACATAGTACGTTATTTTCTTGTAAAACAAATCGACTAACTCTCACTTTATGAAAGATAGTTTCGTTAATATATCTTGTTGTGTGTTTCTGGAAAGGTGAAAACTTGATATAACTGCTGTTCCATCATACAGCACACATTTAAGCTTAAATGTTTAATTCATTTCACACAATGTTTAGATATTTTGTCTAATAAAAGAAGTTTACAGTTTTATATATGTTACATACTACATGATATGAGCATGGATATTAACTTATTCTATCAGTACAGAAGATATGTGAAACAAACTGAAATGTAAAGAAAAACTTTAAAAATATAAATATAAAAGAATTATATTCGCAATAAGGATTAAATATATATATATACATATACACGTTTATTTATCGTTACGTAACATGATTTACGTGACATCTGAAATTAGTTTAATCTGAGGCAAAACTTTTATTCTGTATAGGACTAAACGCAAAACAAACGTTACATTCATAAGTATACACTACATGTCACATTGCTACAGTAATGAATCAATGCTAAACATCGCATATATATTTCATACATCATGTGTTTATAGGTGTATATTATTCTTGGATAGAACCGGTGAAACTAGTATCATGATCAGTTAATACTGACCCACTTTATAGACATTCTTACTTAATACTGATGTTGACTTCTTCTCGCTTTTGGCTTCATCAGATGCCATCAGTGGCATTTCACTTGTTTTATTATCGGTCTCCAATGCATCACTGTCGTTTCCTAAGAAAGGGGAGATTGTTGCGTTCACTGACTCTCCATCAGTTTCGGTAAATAACTTCGGAGGAAATGTTATGTCTATCGACGATTGGTTATTTGAGGGTTTCTCGTCTTGTGACTTCGGAGGAAATGTTATGTCTATCGACGATTGGTTATTTGAGGGTTTCTCGTCTTGTGACTTCGGAGGAAATGTTATGTCTATCGACGATTGGTTGTCAGAGAGTTTCTCGTCTTGTTTCATTTTTTGATCTTCTTTACTAGACAACAGATATTGGTCGCCCATCATTGTGACGTTATCTCTCCTGTCTGTAATTAGTGCCTCGTCCTCGAGACTGCCTTCTGATGATAAACAAGTATTGTAAAATCAAAAATATTTTAAAACGACAAAACCATTGTTAAACATAAATCATATTATCGTCAGAAAAGTTAAGTTAGTATATTACACAATAATTTATATACCTACATTTAAAACCATGTCCATTAATTTAACATTACTAATTTCATCTGGCTAATTGTCAGAAGTTAGCAGCTGTAGGATATTTAATTATCAATTAAACGTTCAATTTGTTTAGTTGAAATGAAACAAGTGTTTCCTGAGCTCAAAAAATAAATTAATGTTTACCCAGAAAAGGATAAAAAAATCCAAAAGCTATTAAGAAAATGTATGTTCGTAAATGGATACTGAACTATAATTAAATTCGATTATGGTTATTTCAAATTGCCTGAAGAAAATATATATATGTGTGTTTTTGTCTGAATATCCAGTGGCGTTTAATACTTTTCTTTATTTTTAGATTAAACAATTGTTTATAACAATACTAAATTCACCTTTTTTTTTTTCCTTTTCGTTTGAAAACATCAGATTTTTTCGGTGGTATTTGAATTTAACTTAGATGTTGACATAAATCGACATCATGTTTTCTTCTAACGTTGCATGTATCGGACTTTCAATTGTAATTTCAGATTAATAGATAAACATAACTGACGAAATTTGATAATAGATATAGCTTAAACATACTTAAATAGCTTATCAAGTACTAGTAAGTTCGTTTCTAGAACAGTCTTCGCAATTGAGTTTAAGATATTCGGGAATGTCAGACATGATCATGTTTAATCCTCCCTCACACTATATGAAATAATGATGTCATATAGCTGTGTCTATCAGCCAAACTTTAACACATGTTTATTCAAATACCTACGATGCAGATCATCATCGAGCAGTCAAACGAATGGCAGTCACCCTTGTATCTGAACTTTATCGACTTCCACAGTGTAGATCGAGAGATCATTTGGCAACTACTACAGCATTATGGTGTGCTGTCAGTGTTTTGCAACCTTATTCAGCAGCTGTACTAAGACCCAACCTGTCAGGTTATTCATAAAGGAAAGCTGAAGTCTTTCAAATTCAAAATGGAATGAGACAAGGTTGATTGCTATCACCAATGTTTTGTTTTTTTGTTGTTGGTGATTGACTGGATCAGATGTTAAACCAATGGTCATTCATAGAGTTTCTTTAAAACCTTGACTTCGCAAATGGCTTGTCTCATGTAATATAATAGGCAAAAAATGTAAACAAAAAACAGATAACCTGATCACTAAAGCAGCAAATACAGAACTCGTGGTGCACACAGGGAAAACCGAAATAATGAATGCTCACAATAAGGAGGAATGGGCCATCATATTGAATTGAAATAACCTAAAAGAAATGGAAACATTCACTTACCTGGGCAGTACTGTGTTAATCACTGGAGGCACAGATGATGAAATATGAACCAGAATAGGAAAGGTTGGCCATGCATTCAACACTCTAAAGCTAGATTGGAACTCAAAGTTTTTTTTGTTTTTTTTTATAAGAAACAATTTAGGGATTTTCAATAGCAACACCAAGTCAGTCTTGCTATATGGTCCTGAAACATGGATATAGTAAACGCCACCAAATTTAACAAACTCCAGACTTTCATCAACAGATGTGTACGGAACATCTTTCTAATTAACTGGTCAGAAACCATCAGTAACAATTATATATGGCAGAGAACTACCCAAGATCCAATCATTATCCAAACTGCCAAAAGGAGATTTGGCTGGTTTGGACATACTCTCAGAAAATCAGTGGACAACACCATTAGGCAAGCTCTCGAGTGGCAAAAGAAAAAAAAGAAAAGTGGGCCGTTCGAAAAAGACTTGGAGAAGATTAATCGATGAGGATGATGGGAATGACCTGGAGTGAGGTGAAGATGGCAGCCAAGAACCGTGTCCAATGGCGAAGTGTTGTTGAAGCCCTATGTTCCATTCAGAGTTTCAAGGTTACTGACTATGCTTCAAAAACAATATATTTTATAGCTTGTTACAGGAAATACTTTAGAGGATATCAACGCTCTTGCACAACCTTGGAGTTACAGTTGTAAGGGTTTACTTGCCCCTTGTTATACGTTTTTACACAGCTACTGTATAAAAATTGTGGTTTATAATTTTTCCCAGGTTTGTAATTTACACAAAAAGGCAAGTAAGTTAATGATATGCATATATATATATATATATATATATCAATAACAATAAAAGTTATCTACTTTACACTGTAATGCATGCGTAAAAAGGACCAGTGGCTGGAAAAACCAATACGTGGTCACAACTCCCATGCGAAAAAAAAAACACCACCAAAAAAAGGGGGATCACGAACACTTTTGTAATATTTATCATTATATTACATAAGATGGGATCAATCATAAAGCGAGATTCTTATGTAAATGGGGCCTAGCATAGCCTGGTGGTTAGGGCATTCGTCTCGTAATCTGCAGGTTGCGGGCATGAATCCCCGTTACCGAACATGCTCCACCTTTCAGCAGTGGGGACGTTATAATATGACGGTGAACTCCTCCATTCGTTGGTAAAAGAGTAGTCCAAAATTTGTCGGTGTGAGGTGTTGACTAGCTGCCCTTCCTCTAGTCTATAAATGCTCTCGAACAGCTTTGCGCGAAATTCAAATAAGCAAACTTATGTAGATAAAAAGGTATATACAGAATATATATAGAATTACTGTTTAATTAATAAAAAAACAGTACGTTTATCGATTTTTAAGTTTATTTAAGTAATGTATATTAATAGTTTGTTTATTTATACGTTGATTACGACAGAAAATATATTCGTGTTAGTTTTTTCATCAGCTTAGACCACTTAAACGAAAACACCAATTTATATTTCTGCTCGTTATAACTTACCTATTTCGACAAATTTAGACTTACTTCTCAAATCCAAATTTGTTTCAGAAGATGATGAATGGCTTCTACTACTCACATATCGTCCATATTTTCAAACGAAGTACTACTTCTAACTCGTCAATGGATTTATAATCAAATGACCACATGAAACCAAAACTTAAACCTACCAGGTGATTCAACAGTGTCTGCTAATCCATGGCTGCACATGACCTTGACACAACAGGAGTCATCTGGTGAGGGGACCAGGGAACATGATGAATTATTATTCTTAGCTTCATCTATTGATATGAAAGGTGCACCACACCTGTCCTGACAGTCGTCTGTATTGTTTCCTTTACAGAAACAACGTTGTTCACAACCTTTGAAATACTCTTGTCCTACCTTGACGGTTTGATTATTTTTCACACAGCCATCTAAAATTTCAGGAAACAGTGTTCTTTGTTACTTTTTTATTTTTTAACACAGTTCTCTACTAACGCCATGCGATCCAACAGAAACGAACGCTAATGATGTAAACTGAAATGGCCAAAACAATTTACTTTAATTAATATTTCTGAAACTTACAGCTGCTACCATTAAATTTTACCCATTAATTAAGTATTCATCTGCTACAATTCATAAGTTCTCTTTAAATTGTTAGTTAACACAGGTTTACTTAGCAAGCATCACAAAATACTACTAACTGGGTATTTATTTAGGATTACAAGTGATTCAGATCCAAGGTTGAACATGGAGACGTGTTACAAATGTATCATATATATTAAAACAACTAACTAACCAACAACTTTCAAGAAGATGTAAAAATCATTACGTATTTTGATTTATCATATTTTTTTCTCAATGAATCTTATAAGTCTTGATAAAAATGTTTCAAATATTAGTATTTCTCACAAAAAGTTAAAAACACAAAAGCTTTAGTAACAGTTTTCACCTCCCACAGAACTTCAGTAAAACTTATATTGTATTTCCAGAGGCTGGATAGTACATTCTGTAAATGTTTGAGCATTCGGTCACATGCGTCTGGAAACCTGAATCTTTTCAGTTCATAGTTTTTCGTGTAAAAAAAATAAAATTTTCATAGTTCCATTCTTCTACTACGAATCCCAAGTCAGAATATAATTAGCTTATAAATAAAAACTGTTTAAAAGTAAAGTTCCAGTTTTTTACACACAGGCAAGATGTAAGATATTTTTTAAGATCTTGTTTCATTAATGAAACAAGTACGGCAAGTAATTTTCAAGTTACATTTATTGTAATGGTCAAACTTTAATTAAAATTTATGTTTAATTAATATAGAAATAAACAAAAAATTAATGTCGCATAACACCTCCACCACCCTAATTCGAAAATGTATATTTGTTTATTTTTGTTGATAACAAGCTCTTACAATTAAAAAAATAATAATTTATAGAATATCTCTTCAGATAAACAGATGAACACATGAATGAACAAAAAAAATTACTGACCTTCAGTAAATACAGTAACGACTTCGGAGGAAGTACCTATCTTTTCGTCCTCCCACACGGATACTCGAGCTTGATAGGCCGTGAGAGGGCGTAGTCGAGAAATTGACAGCAGAGGGAAATTGGTGCCCTACACAACGAAGTAACAGACCATTTTACTAGATAGAAATAATAACTCAAGGTTGAAACCATTCGCACTTCGTTAATTGCTTTGTTAAATACAAACTAGAAAATGATAAAGGTTAGAGACTGTGAAAAAACAAACAGTTGTCTAGGTGCTATTGTATACATGTGCATCCGTAAACCATCTAACCTTTATTATATTATCAATTAACGGCCTTCATAATAAGCTCGCCCTTGGAAGAAAAAAACTACTCTTTCTGGGTGGAGACTAGAAGTCCTAACTAGTTCACTTGCCACTCCTTACAGTCTACCCACGTGCAGTTATCATCATGTAAAGTAGAATTGTAACTGTTTAAATGTATCTTTACTAGGTACATGTAAAACTGTAATCCTACCTCTACCTTATATAATGAGGGCAAAATAAAATTTCAAGCTAAAATAAATTAATATCTTTTACAGGTTTCCTACGGGTTAACGGGTTAATTTGATGTCAAGAAATTATAATAAATCTTAGTCGTATTTTTGTAAGATTAGTGTTTTTTTACCCATTTCTTATTTCATCCTCCAGTAAGTTGAAAGAACATCACAAGAATGCGCATATTAGCTTAAACAAAATGTTTATATATATATATATTTATATAATGTGTACCAAATGGTAGTTTTCATGAAAACGTTTGGTCCAGTAAAAACGTACTTTACTTAAAAATAGACCCCCCAGTGACACAGCGGTATGTCTGCGAACTTACAACGCTAGAATTCGGGTTTCGATACCCGTGGTGGGCAGAGCACAGATAGCTCATTGTGTAGCTTTGTGCTTAATTCCAAACAAACAAACTAAAAATATACATTACAAATAAACTCAAGCGTTATTTTATTTATATCACCCTGGGACCATTTCCTAATACAAATAAACATCCCTAACAATTTCAAATTTGCTTTATTTATTTCAGCCTGGGAACTTAGTAAAAACAGGTATTCCTGACAAACAAAATCCTATCCAAATCAAGTGTTGTTTTAACTCACTTCAGCCTGAGATCTTTCCTTAGTAGAAACAAGTATTCCTCCTATCTCTATCAAAATCAAGATATTTTAAAAATAAAAACAGACATCCTTGACAAACCCAAGTGTTGTTTTATTTCCTTCAGTCTGGAACATCTTCCTAATAAAAACAGACATTCCAAATAAACCCAAGTATATGCTTTTATTCCCCTCAGCCTGGGATATTTTCCTAATAAAAACAGACATTCCAAATAAACCCAAGTATATGGTTTTATTCCCTTTAACTTGGGACATTTGCCTAATAAAAACAGACATTCCAAATAGAGTAAAGTGTTGTTTTATTTTCTTCAGCCTGGAAGAACATCTTCCTAATAAAAACAGACATTCCAAATAAATCCATGTATATGCTTTTATTCCCTTTAGCCTGGGATATTTTCCTAATAAAAACAGACATTCCAAATAGATTCAGTGTTGTTTTATTCTCTTCAGCCTGCGATCATTTTCTAATAAAAATGACATGACTACTTAAGTTTTCAATCCTTTGAAGGTTATTTCACAAGTCTATTTTTGTGATACTATCACAAACCTTATAAAATGCTTTATCACAGTAAATTGCACATATACTTTGCAGGCTGAGAAATTTTACACCACTAGATTTTTTTCGCCAAAAGAATTATACAGTAGCTTTCTGTTTTTTTACATCTAGTTATTCCAGCTAACTTGGAGATATCTGATATATATATTGAGATTTCGACCGAAAATATTGTTACCAGCGAGGATACTGAAATTGATGAAACAATGCATTCCAATCTTTATAAGTAGAGCGTAAGAAAGTTATATTTAATTAGTTATCTGATTACATTACTGCTGTAGGATACAGTAACTAAAGATTAGTTTAAACCACTGTTATAGGATACAGTAGCTAACGGTTAGTTTAAAAGTTATTTGTGTGCACTTTTGCGGACAAATTCGAAATGAGCATGTTAATAATAAGGCATATAAACAAACGTTGTTTCTCTTGCGTTTTCATCGCATGCTTGTATTTCGTTAGGCCTGTTATACATATTTGAATTACATGCTGTAAGCCAGTTGTATAGCCTATATTAATGTTAGTATTGCTAATTTAGTACCAAACCCATCTTTTACGGTAATTATTGGTTTGTCTGGAAACTACATGGCACATCCTTTTAAATAGTACAGCTACATACAGGGTTGAAAACTTTAGATACTTTATGAATGTTGCTATAAAAACAAATTCTAAAGCTTTCATTTGTCCCACATAGCCTTAGAATAGATACTTCAACCAACTTATCACTCTGTACCTGAATTTGTATCCACTCTCCTGGTTTTCCGTCCTCCCCTTCCTTGGTTCTGTATTCCACAATATAACCAGCCTGGTAGTTAGGAAGTTTGAAGTCATCCCAAGCAAGGGTTAACCAGATATAAACATAATCTGTAGAATTGAGATTCTAATTAGATCGCGTAAAACCATCTAAACAGAATTTATGAAATTTAGATATTGATTTCATTACGAGTTCTAAAAATTGGATAGGATTTGTTGAATTGAAACTTTAGTTTCATTTTTTAGCAAGTTTCTGAATAAAATCAGTAGAACTGACAGTCTGATTCCATCACGTGACCACATATTTACATGTTGTATAGAACTCATATTTTGATACCGTCACGTGACCACATATTTACATGATGTGTAGAATTGAGATATTATTTTTAATTAGATCGCATGACTACCATCTAAACAGAATATGCAAAATCGAGACAATTTTAATATGAGGCCGAAAACTTAATTGATATAAAGTGTAAACTTTTATTCATTTCTTGACAAACATCTGAATAAAATCAATATAATTTACAGTATGATTCCATCACGTGACCAAATATTTATATAGAATTTGTGATATTGAAACTTTAATTCTATGATGTGATAACCAACATTAGTTTTTGGTTTACTTTCAGAACTCCCTTACTACTTTACTCTTAAAGTGGAAAGAAAATTAATACTTGGAGCTGTATTCACTACCCTAGAAATGTTCCATGCGTTAATGAGTTGTTAGCTAAGTGGAAATACAACCTAAGTTATCATAATTATATATATGTGTTATGGTAAAGGTATGAGATTTCCTTTTCATAGTGCTTTCTCTAAACCTTTAGATCCACCAGTAGATAATGTTCCCAAAGTTCTGGTAACGCACCGTACTCCATCGTCATCACGGCGATGGATTTAAAATCTTAGTTATAGAACGTCTATATAAATGTTGGTCACGTAATAAAACTAAAGACTAATTTCTATAAGTTTTCCTCCGATGGGTATCACGAGATAATGTTTGTCTTGATTCTACGAATTTTATCCTAATGATTGTCAAGACATGATGCAAGTATCTACTGCACCTAGATTTTTTTACAGAAAAATACGATTACACGATGCAATTTAGTTCTCAACGCTCCAAGTTTTGAATTACCTAAATATTTAAGGTTTAATTTTATAAATCCATCTTCTACACAAACGCTAGTCGCATGATGCTTGGACCATTTAAAATTCTAGATTAATTCACGTTAAGTGTTTGTTTCTCTGCGAACCTCTCCTACAGTTTTGGAGCTAGCAGGACCAAACCAGGCAGACATACTTGCGATAGCTTGGGGGTCTTCTGATCTATATGGCATAGCCCCCTACGAAAGGAATACTTTCATATATTATTTCACATTAATTAGTGCATTTTTTCTCCTTCAAAAGTTTTGGAGTTGGCAAAATCAGCCATGAGAGGCAGACTCGGATAATCTAAAGTCGAGGAGATAGTCCATACATATATACAAAATGCATTGTATAAATACAATATACACTTTACAATAACAACTGTCAACTACCCCATTTTGTTGTAAAAAAATGTAAACAAAGAACAAAGAAACAAGAAATCTTAAAAAGAGTTTCTGGTTTGTTTTAGTTGTCACTAGATGGCTCTACTAATTTCACAATCTCGCTTTGTAAAGTTACTAAAAAGCTATTCGTATTCGAATAGGAACGTTACTAGGTTACAGGACAAACTTCTTTGGTTGTCCTAGTAACACTAAAGTGGTTCGTGGCTTTACATCTGTGATTCTTTATTGCAAAAGGTCGTCCCCGTTCGGGTCTTCCTCAAAAGACTACCCTTTAATCCGTGTACATGGTTTACTGCATAATATATTCTGCGTGTTTGTATATGTCTAATCTCAAATTACGTAATGTGTGTTCTAATATCTTAAGGTAATGGCATAACTATTCAATTGACTATGCACGGAAAGAAATAGGTTACATCGTGATGAAAATAATAAACATAACAAAAGCATTCAAAACAGTGCAATGGACAGATAGACACAAGAAAATCGGTAATATAATATTATTTCAATTGCGTTTTTGCAGCAAGGGGCCGAGAACCCGGAACCCTCAGATTCTCCCAGTCATAACACACTGACCATGACGCCCGATCCAGATTGCGAGTGAATAACTACATAAACCTCAATATAAATTTTGTAAATGTTTTTGTGCTTTTCAAGTATGATTTGTACTTTTGTTATTTCCGACAAAACTCTGTTTCTTTACGAAGCTCGACAAATAAAAAGTGATTTGGTATGGACATAATACTTAACCAAATTTTAGAAATAATTCTTCCCAAGTTTTGTTTGAGATCGAGAGTTAAAAAAAGAAAAAAGAAAATTATCCAGTAAATTTATTAACAAAATTAATAGTGTCACGAGAGATCCTTTAATATTTCAAGGCATTATCAACGCTTCATTTTTGTCGTAAGTTCTAAAACTAAATTTAGAATAATAAGCCATATTTTAGGAGAGATCCTTTTAATTTCACTAGTCTTCTGTTTAGTTACTACTTCAGCTGTAAGTTTGAGGAGGTGTTATTACATCCTGATTCGATCACCACGGTGGGCAAAGTGCAGATAGCCTATTGTGTAGCTATGTGCTCAACAATCAAATTCTATATACCATTACAAAAGAAAATACCATTAACGGACAGTACCCAACTGATGATTCAATTACACTTTCATCATTATAGGTTTTATTTTTCTGGTATACCTATTGATAACATTAAATATTTTAGCGAGTTTGTTATATCAGATTGTCTTCATTGACATACGTATCTCTATGTGTGTTATTTAACATCATTATATTTCTGGTCTTCATAAGTAGCTCACTCTCCATCAGAGATTTTTAATAATTATTTTAATTCCGAACTGTTTTTACCGACGATTTATCCTTGTCTTCTACTTTTTTGTTAATTATCCCTGTTTTCTCCTTACTTGTGATTTAAGTTATCCTTGTTTTCTCTACTTGTTATTTGAATTATTTTTGTTCTTTCTTACTCATTATTTAAATTAGCCTTACGCAACTGAAATTAACACAAACAAAAATTATCTTGTACCAGATGTGCTAATATAAACGTCAAATACGTTGTTTAAAATCTCGTAAACTGTGTAAACAGTTTTAAGAATGTATTTTTGTAACTTTTTGTTCAAGAAGGCAATTTTGAAAGAAAAAAACATTTATGATTATAAAGAAAACCTTACATATAAAATCCGTATATCTTAAACCTACTTCTTCGTGGAGCTTAGTTTCATCAGAAGCACATTGAGAAAGATCAATTTTATTCATGTGATTCAGACATGCTTCAGTGTGTTTCAAATATGGTCAAAAACGTTCAAGTTTTACTTCTGTCATTCTCGATAAGCTTATTAAACAAGCATATCCATCGAAGAATTTACTGTAAGCATAATCTCTTCTGGATATGTTAATTGAATCTCACAATATCCTGCATACTGGCATGCATTTTACAGAAATAACTAGCCTCGTGTGAATAACAGAGAGTGAGAAATGAAAGCAGTGTTAGTATACGAGAAAAGCGATTTAGATAAACAGTATAATATAGTTTTGTAACAATTTGTACCATGTTGAAACTTACCAGATTATAACTCATGGATCTATGTTCTTTCGGTGAAGTTTAGTTCCTCTAGAACAAGTAGTTTTTTTTGGTGTAATTATTTTTAATATGGGAGTTTCCTTACAGTAACACTGTACATCTTAATTATGTTTGTCATGAAGCACATTTTTTTCTTTTTTCCTTTTCATTTGGTATAATTTCCTAAATAGCATGTTTTTTCTTTTCCTTTCGTTTGGTATAATTTACTAAAAGTGTTTATCAGCAAATTGTGAAATACAATATTGTATCTCTTAATCTGCACAGTTTATTAATTGGTGTTTAATTTAGTCCTGGAAACTTAGATATTATTTAAACCAAACATAAACAAGCTAAGGGTGGTTGCTTTGGTCCAAAGTCTTCACCTTATATTGGAATGTAAGAATTTGATCTTAAGAGATCACCTACAACTCAGTGTCATATATTATAAACAAATAGACATAGAAACATGAAATTATATATACATACATACGTAGGCAATTTACACTATTTTTTTATGTACTAGCGGTTAGATAAGAGAGAGAAGATGCGTATATCCATACTACAGCGTTATTAGCATTTCTATATATACAAGTAATAACTGTATCAGGCAGGCGGTAGCACTGCATATGTATGTATGGCTCGGATTGATCATCGAATGGTATTTAATATTCCTCAATAGTCATCAGTAAATTACAATACTGTACACTGTTTCCTTTATAACTAATATCTTATAATAGACTGAGTCACAAGT